AAGTGTAGGTTCCGGCAAGTGATCCCTCCTAGCTAGTTTGAAGTGTTGGATTGCTTTCCTCCAAGACTTGGTATGTCCTCATGGATTCGAGGATAAGACTTTTAAGTTCTTTTGTTCATGTAGTAGACTTAATAGACTTCTTTTGATTGTAAAGGGCCGTGTCCCTACTTATGTTTTGTGACTGTGTCTAAGATGGCCATGTGAGACTTAGACTTCCGCTGTGTGTTTTTAAAGTTCTTTTAATGAAGTTTAAATGTGTGGATGTAAATAAGTTTTTTTTTATTCCGCACTATTTTCATTATTGAATGACTATGTGGCTCGTATAAGACCCCTTCGGGGTCGAATACGCCATGTTACGACTAGGGGGTACTCTCGGGTCGTGACATGCTCGATCTCTATTACCTGGGGGAACATATGCACCACTGCGGTCATTTCAATACCCATCTCTATTCTGCCAGTTTCCCTGCTCTCTGTTTGCTGGCCTATCATACTGTCCTTCCCTTGAGAAGTTCCGACCTGCATTTCCAGAATTAGAATTATAACCCTGGTTGCCCGAGTTTTAACTTCGGAAACCTCTTTGGTTTCCCAGGTAATTTTCCTCCTCATCTAGATCAATATCCTAATCTTCAAACCTGTTTGGTTGGCTCACAACATTTACCTTTTCAGACATGAAAACAATATGCTTCATGAGTAGATCTATTTGGGTCCTCACCTGTGCCATATCCTGATCTCTTTCTTCTTCTCTCTTCCTTTGTTCAGCCAGCAGTTCAAATGTGTACCCTAGATCTCCTACTTCTGCATCCCTGGTGTACCATGCCCTATTATTCTTTGACACTTCGTCCATCAGTTGCATGCTCTCTGAGAATGGCTTCCTCATAAATGATCCTCCACACACTACATCAATAATAGGTTTAGTGACATAATTCAAAGATATATAGAAAGCATGTTTTAAATGCCTCTTAGTGAGACCATGGTTTGGGCACTTTTTTTAGCTTTTGGCTGAATCTCCACCAAGTGTCATGCATTGCTTCTCCTGGTACTTGCTTATGGGCAATGATCTCGTCTGTCATCTGCATTTTTTTTTATTTAGGAAAGAATCGTTCCAAGAAAGCCTCCTTCAATTCAGTCCAATTCCTAATTGAGTCAACCGGCATCTCATTCAACCAGTTGGTTGCCTCTCCGGTAAGAGACAAGGGAAATAACCTCAATCTCATCGATGTTTGGCTTACTCTAGGAATCTCTTGCGATTTGTAAATCGCCACAAAGTTCATCAGATGTTGATTAGCATCATCACCCGCTGCTGCCCTGAACATACCTTTCAGATTTAGTAGTTGAATCATGGTGCTGGTGATTGTGAACTTAACACCTGGAGGTAGTGCAGGTAACACTATAGCTCCAGTGGCTCCAGCTCCATCTAAGTCTACGTCATGCTCTTCATACATCATATGAGCTGGAGGTTGTGGTCTACCCCTTGGAGTTATTGGTTGGCGGTTGGGGGGAATGATTCCATCCACCGTTATGTTTTCGTTCACTGCCCTTGGTAGATTGTTCACAACATTCGGCCGAATACCCCTAGCAACGGTTCAGCTTCCAATCCAAATCTCTGTCTCTGCGCCTCAAGTTCTTGTGCGTTCACCATTTTATGGATTGTTTTCCGAAGTTATCGATCGTATGGGACTAATAGGGCTCCCTTACTTCTGGTATTTGGAATACACAGTCGAACTCACCTGAAAGAGACACGAACAAAGAACAAGACGTAAAATTCTGAAATCTAACTATACTTAGAATAAAAGCTAGTAAAACACTCCTGAATTGAAATTCCCCGGTAGCGGCGCCAAAATTTGATACGTCCAAACTTACACCTCAATTAAGAGATATAAACGGTCGAAGTCAATTTACAGAACTCAACGTGAGTTGAGGTCGATCCCACAGAGAATTTCTTTATAGAAATGTTTTCACTATCGCGTTTTACTCTAATGTCATTATTATTTCCTAAATAAACAATTATTGAAAGTAAAATTGGGTTTAGCGTTAACGCTTAAGTAACCAAGATTGTAAAGTAAAGTCTAATTCAACAATGAACAAAATATCAGTTTTGAAGTTGTTTCAATAATTACTAAAACTAGGATTGTGTTCCTTATAACGTTGCGTCTAATGTCCTTACGTAATTGAGTTTCAGGCAACTTACGTCTACAAACTACATGTGAGTTAGCTATATCTGACACTTCTCAGTTTACTCAGATAATCTTCACTCAAGTCCTCTCGGTCCTAGAGTGTTACACGATTTACCTTCACCTAAAATGGTGTTAAGGTTCTTTACTCTCAAACTCGAACTTTGACTCCATTTAGTTAAATTAGTTTAGCTTTTTCCTAACTATCATTTCTCTCTCAAACAAATGACAGATACATGCTCATCCTAATGTGTGCAATCATCAGAATACATGAATAACGAAAACTAAACTATAGTTTGTAACCACAAATTGCCTTTCACTCGTTTTACGAAATCACAATTAGAATTCCGTCATGGATCCCACAACCCCAGTTGTGGTGTTTAGCCACTCATGATTTCACGTAAATGTTCAAAAATATCGAATGAAAACATGCTATAAAGTACTTACGAGAATAAGCAATCAACAACCACTTTAATATTTCAAGAACCAGAAAACCGAACTTCAAACTTAATTCAATATCCAAAATCGAAAACCAAAAGCTATGAATTCTGGAAACTTGTTCGTCGTTCAAATGAAAGATAAGATAAAAACATAAAAAATGACCTAATTCATTTAGAAATAGTTTTAAAAAGAGTCCTACTCGAAGCAGGACTGATATGTCGGCCCCTTTCAAGCCCACTTCTATGGCCCGTCAAGGGCTTCACGGTCCGAGAAGCCCTTCGTGGTCTTCACTTGGATTCCCCAAAGCAGGTTCTTCAAGACCTGCACACTGTGTCATCACCACGACATGCACCACGGGTCGTGACAATGACCACGGGCCGTGTAGTTATCTGTGGTCTTCACATGGTAGCTTATCTCTTCAACTTTCCAAAGCCCCTTCACTGCATCATTACCACGACATGCACCACGGGCTGTCGTGAAGACCACGACTCGTGAAGTCGTCTTTGGTCTTCACTTGATTCAGTTCCTTTTTCAACTTTTCCTTGCCATTCACTGGTTCAGCTTCACGAACTGCACCACAGTTCGTGACAAGGACCACGACCCATCTAGGTGCTCGTGGTCTTCACTTTGCATATGGTTATCAGCAGCCTTCTTTTCTTTCGTCTTTCACGTCCACCTGTTTCACCTATACAAACACAACCAAACGCATTATATCCACATAAATACACTCGATTCTAGTATCAATGTTTAATTTTCAAGCATCAAATGTGCCAAGATTTCGTGGCACATCACATATAAATATTAAGAAAAGAACATCAATTCACCTCAAAAAAATCTCAAATTGCACCAATGACCTTAGAATATCGAAACAAAAAAATGATCAAAATTTTACTTTTTTACGTAACTGACCGAAAAATAACAAAAAAATAATTTTTCCTCCAAAATGTACGAAATATATAAAAATCAAGCTAAGTACATCAAAATACCTCAAAATATTCTCAAACTGCACCAATGACCTTAGAATATCGAAACAAAAAAATGATCAAAATTTTACTCTTTTTCGTAACTATCTGAAAGATAACAAAAAATATTAATTTTTTCTCTGTATGAAACATATAAAAATCAAGAAAAGTACATAAAAACATCTCAAAAAATTCTCAAAATTCAACAATGACATTAGAATATCGAAACAAAAAAAATGATCAAAATTTTACGCTTTTTCGTAATTATTCAAAAATTAACGAAAAATTTAATGTTTCCTCGTAAATGTACGAAATATATAAAAATCAAGCTAAGTACATCAAATACCTCAAATAATTCTCAAACTGCACCAATGACCTTAGAATATCGAAACAAAAACTGATCAAATTATACTCTTTTTCGTAATTGTCCGAAAAATAACAAAAAGTTATTTTTTCCGCGTAATTTTACGAAACATATAAAAATAAAAAAAAGTACATCAAAACACCTCAAAAAATTCTCAAACTGCACCAATGACCTTAGAATATCGAAACAAACAAATAATCTGAATTTACTCTTTTTCGTAACTGTCCAAAAAATAACAAAAAAAGTTATTTTTTCCTCGTAAATGTAAGAAGTATATAAAAATCAAGAAAAGTACATCAAAACACCACAAAAAATTCTCAAACTACACCAACAACCTTGGGATATCGAAAAAAAATGATCAAAATTTAACACTTTTTGTAACAGTCCGAAAAATAACAAAAAAAAGATTTTTCCTCGTAATTGTACGAAACATATAAAAATCAAGAAAAGTACATCAAAACACCTCAAAAAATTCTCAAACTGCACCAACGACCTTAGAATATCTAAACAAAAAGATGATCAAACTTTTACTCTTTTTCGTAACTGTCCAAAAAATATCAAAAACAATATTTTTTCCTCGTAAATGTACAAGACATATAAAAATCAAGAAAAGTACATCAAAACACCTCAAAAAGTTCTCTAACTACACCAATAACCTTAGAATACCGGGAAAAAAATGATCAAAATTTTCCTCATCCTAAATGACCCGAAAAATGACAAAAAAATCATTTTTTCCTCGTAAATGTCCAAAAGATATAACATATCAAGAAAAGTACATCAAAACACCTTAAAATAATTCTCATACTGCATGAATGACCTTAGAATATCGTAACCAAAAGATGATCAAAATCTTACACTTTTTCGTAACTGTCCGAAAAATAACAAAAATTTTAATTTTTCCTCTTAAATGTCCGAAAGATATAAAAAATTATGAAAATTACATCAAAACACCTCAAAAATATTCTCAAACAGCACCAATGACCTTAAAGTATCGAAACAAAAAAATGATCAAAAATTTACCCTTTTTCGTTACTGTCCGAAAAATAACAAAGAATTTAATTTAAGCTTATAAATGTCTGGAACATATAAAAATCAAGAAAAGTACTTCAAAACAGCTCAAAAAATTCTCAAACTGCACCAATGACCTTAGAATATGGAAACAAAAAAATGACGAAAATTTTACTCCTTTTCGTATTCTACCGAAAAATAACAAAAAAAATATTTTTTCCTCGTAAATGTCCGAAAGATATAAAAATTAAGAAACATATGTCAAAACACCTCAAAAAATTCTCAAACTGCACCAATGTCCTTAGCATATCAAAACAAAAAAATAATCAAAATTTTACACTTTTTCGTAACTGTCTGAAAAATAACAAAAAAATTATTTTTCCTTGTAAAATGTACGAAACATATAAAAATCAAGAAAAGTACATCAAAACACCTCAAAAAATTCACAAACTGCACCAATGACCTTAGAATATTGAAACAAAAAAATGATAAAATTTTTGCTCTTTTTCCTATTTGTTCGGAAAAAAAATAATTTAATTTTTCGTCGTAAATATAAGAAACATATAAAAATTAAGAAAAGTACATCAAAACATCTCAAAAAGTTCTCAAACTTCACTAATGTCCTTAGATTATCAAAACAATAAAATGATCAAAATTTTACTCATTTCCGTAAGTGTCCGAAAAATAACAAAGAATTTAACTTTTGCTCGTAAATGTCCGAAACATATAAAAATCAAGAAAAGTATATCAAAACACCTCATAAAATTCTCATAATACACTAATGACCTTAGAATATGGAACCAAAAAAAATTATCAAAATTTTACACTTTTTCGTATCTATCCGAAATATAACAAAAAAAAATATTTTTTGCTAATAAATGTCCGAAAGATATAAAAATTAAGAAACATACGTCAAAACACCTCAAAAAAATTTCAAACTGGACCAATGTCCTTAGTATATCGAAACTAAAAATTAATCAAAATTTTACACTTTTTCGTAACTGTCAGAAAAATAATTAAAAAAATAGTTTTCCTGGTAAATGTACGAAACATATAAAAATCAAGAAAATTATATCAAAACACCTCAAAAAAATTCAATCTACACCAATGACCTTAGAATATGGAAACAAAAAAATGTGAAAACATTTTACACTTTTTCATATCTGCTAGAAAAATAACAAAAAATTTAAATTTTCCTCGTATATGTCCGAAAGATATAAATATTAAGAAACGTACATCAAAACACCTCAAAAAATTCTCAAACTGCACCAATGTCCTTAGCATATCAAAAATAAAAAATAATCAAAATTTTATTCTTTTTCGTAATTGTTCGAAAAATAACAAAAATAAAATAATTCCTTGTAAATGTACGAAACATATAAAAATCTAGAAAAGTATATCAAAACACCTCAAAAACTTCTCAAAGTACACCAATGACCTTAGAATATTGAAATAAAAAAATAATAAATCTTTTACCCTTTTTCGTAATTGTCTAA